CACTGTAGATATATATGTACTTTAAAATTTATATCGTTAAAGTTCTATTCGTTTCATAATAGAACTCTCATGAGTGTTAACTGTTTTTATCATTTCAATTCTCTATATAATTGTTATTATTCATTGTCTCTGTTGAATGAAAGATATGTAAAAATGTTTTTCCCAGGACGAGTGTACTGGAATTTGCAAGAATATAAATAATAAATTTTATAACAAATGAAAGCTTATTGAAAATAGAATTTATAAGTGCATTTGATAATCAACCAATAGAATGTATTTTAAAAGATTAATTCAAAGTCAACTAGAAATCATCATTTTTTTTTTATCAAAGTTAATAAAGTTGTTATATCAAAATGTTCGACAAGGGAAGTCCTACAAATTCTAATAGATGCCAAAATATTTTGATCATATCTTGATTGATTTCGAATGGAATTACCAAACTATATTTTGTAACAATTTTGGAAAATTTCATAATTTTTTAGTTTAAAATCATTGCCTTTTTGGTCAATTTTTATTTGACATGAAATTTATTATTTTACAATCATATTCATTGAATAATTTCTGAATCAGAAAACTAATATTTATATTTTTTTTTTAAATCTATAACAAGATTAATTGATTTAGTACATGTATTAAATATATAATTCTTTAATATTTAGTTCATCATTATTATGCTAAGTTGAACAGACATAAATAAGAATATTTTTTTATTAAACTGATGAGATTTCATTTGATTTATTCTTGAATATTGTTTTTCTTGTCAGGTTATGAGTGTGAATATTACCGAGAAGATGAATTGCACACCCACACTCACAAAGTGACAGTTATAGAGTATACGGTGGCCATGATCTCAGATGATGACAAAAAAACAAGAATGATTTTCTAGAGGTTATTGTTAATTATGCGTAATTGATGTCTCAAAGAACATTTTTGTTAATATGTAGACAGCATTTGAATATGATTTAAAAAATAGTATTTGTAAAGTTTTACTCAAATAACTAAAATTATTACGATACAATAGAAGCCTTAAAACTTCTAATATGTCTTTTACAGTGATCACTCTATGGAAATCTCCTCATTTCGAAATGTAACGTACAAAAAGAAATCATTTAAAAGAAAAGAGATCAATAATAGTAGAATCTATACTAACATTGAATAAAAGAAGTATATGAAACTGTTTGTATTTTCTGAAATCAATAAATAAAAATTTATTTACCATGGAAAACTAAACATTTCTGAAAATTTTCAATAATCTTATTATATGACGATTAAATAGATCAAAAACTTTTAATTTTTTTTCTTGAATATGATCTTATTTATCAATATATATTTTTCATAATATCTTTTTTGTTTTTATCAATATACAAAAATGAAATGATCAAATAAAAATCTTATATAATGAATACAAGAAATAAACTAATAGTACAAACAAATATTGTAAATGATATTTCATCAATTGATGCTTGATCATTTAAATTAACAAGAATAGAATTATCTTTTTTTGAACATGTATTCATCCAGAACTGTACATTTATTGGAATTTCAAATTTTTTTAATTCACTTTGATTTAGTTTTAAATCCATTATTAATCCATTGGATGTATTAACAATTGATAACCATTGATTTTTATATTTGGTACTATTTGGTTGACCATATTTAATAAAATTTGACCATTGTTCAATAATTAATTCACTAAATTCTATTTGTTCAATTGTATAATTTTCTATAGAATTTATTTCATATGGAATATAATTAATTAATGGTATTAAATCATTTGAATAATTTGTTTTTCCAAATAATAATGGTGTACCCCATGTATATTCAAGTTCAGCAAAATGACCAACTAGATTATTTCTATGAAAATAATCATTACATGGTGTTGGATGTTCTTGTGATGTTCGATAAGAATATTCATAAACAAATGTTTTATTTGAATGTTTAATCCGTTGAATAAGAAAACGATAATAATCATTATAAAATAAAACATCACTTACAAGATGAGAATAATTATAAAATGAAGAACAATAACAATCAAGTGATTGAGAACAATTATTTGGAATTTCATTGATATGATATCTATATAGAAAAAAAAAAGATAAGAGAAGAAAGATTTAATAGATTTTTCTCGTTTTGTTTTTATTTAGATTGATATTTATGCATACAATTCTAATGCTTTTTGATATAAACATGTTTTATCTGGTAGCATTGCATCAAGAAATTTTAGTGAGATTTCAGTAATATTTACATTATCAAGTATTATAAATTCTTGATTAGGTTGTTCAATATGAATAGGTATTACTGCAACGTACACACCTAGAAAGTAAAATCATGAAATATTTAATATTAACTTTATATTCAATATTATCAATCATGTATAACATTATACAAGGCAGTGTCTACATGAAATATTTTTCTGTCGTATTTAGTTTCTTTATCAAATGAAAGCTGTTTCTTTGACAAAACTCTTCTCCTTCTAAAGTATGAAAGTAGTGATCGATTTTGAATTATATATATATATCATTTGATAGGTTTTTCAGTAGTCTACAAAATGATACTAATACGTTCAACTAAATTTATAGGCAAAACACATTACTCAGAAGAACAACATGTTTTTAGACACTTAAAAAAGTCTATTGAATGATATATATATATATATAATGCGAAGTAAATCACTACTATCATACCACATAACAAGGGAATTCCACCATGACTGTCCTCATATTAGTCAAATGAGAGAGCACTGTTATCCCAAATGAAAATGGAAAACAACAATATTTTGTCATAATCATATATATATATATGTCATTCAATCGGAAACAAAGAAGGACTTTCGTATGATACATAAATCAAATCAAAGAAGCTGAGCAAGGTAGAGAAGTTTTTCGTGTAAAATTTGCATAGTATAATACTATAGAAAATCATTAATTAATATTATATTCTTATGCTAAAAATTTAATTCAAATCATTTACCTTCATCATCAGTAGATCCAATAAGAATATCAATATCTGCTAATGTATCATTTGAATCTAAATCTGTTCGAAATCCGTTCATATAATTACCATTAATAACAACATTTGTATGATTAGCACCTGTATATGTATAATGTTCATATTCACCAATCAAATCATAATCTTTTTCACGTAAACATTTTAATTTTTCATCAAATGTTATCATCATTCCACATTGATTATCATCAGCAACAACATTAAATCTTTCTAAAGCTTCATTAGCTTTTATATGTGACCAATTATTAAATGGAGAACCACTTTGTAATATTAAACGACGTATTCTACCACGATTAAATGGTGACATAGCTAAATAATAAGCATGTGGTGCACCAGCTGAATGACCACCAATTGTAATACGTTCAATATCACCACCTAATGCTTCACTATTTTCATATATCCAATCAAGTACCATTGATTGATCATATAAACCAAGATTACCTTCTAAACGTTCATCACCTGATGAAAGAAATCCAAAAAGATTAAGACGAAAATTAAATGTTACAACAATAATATCTCCTAAAGCAGCAAGAATTGTTCCATCAAACATATTTCCTGTTCCAACTTGACTCGAACCACCATGAATCCACATAAATATAGGTTTTTTTCTCTCATTATTATTATTATTATTAATTGGTATATAAACATTTAAATATAGACATTGTTCATTTGGTGATGATGTTATAGAAAAAATTCCATAAGTAACTATACAAGATGTTGTTAAAGGATATTTATCATTATTTATTGTACATGAATTTATTGTTGGTTTACATACAGGTCCAAATGATGTTGCATTAATAATTGAATTATTTTTTCGAATAATTGGTTCAGCACGTTCAAAACGTTTATTTATTCGACCATATTCAATACCAAGATATTGTTGAATAGTTATATCACGATAATTAACTGTATGACCAATATAGATACCCGATGTTGTGTTCAATAAAGGAATAGAAGATATTGATTCAAATATTATTAAAAATAATAATAATAGAATAGTTATTGAAGACATCATAAATATCTAATACTGTATAAAATAAATCGACTTTCTTTTCTTCTTTACGAAACAAAAAAAAAATGTCATATTATCTATTTTCTTATCGATACACATATAATCTCAAAATAAGATTTAATTATGCAATCTATGAAGTTATCATTGTCTTTGTCTAATTGACATCGACGTTAGTTGTAGTTTACGTTGAGAAAAATACTGTCTATATTATTATTTTTTTAAATGTCAACTCTTGATAATTAACAAATCTCAATAATTCAATTACAATTGTTAATTGACAAGAACTTATCAATACATCATTAACTGCTTAATTTATATTTCCTAGTCCATAACGATAGCATCTAGAAACAAGAATTCACCTTTACCTGTAACATACTATATGTTACTATGATATAAATGACTGTGTAGAATAAGCAGAAGAAAAAAACAGGACATCTACGTATTAGAGTCTAAATTAATCAAGAAAACAAAATTTATCTACACTCCATATCTCATCGCATTTTGCTTTATTATATGACTTAGTACTGCGATTGTATATTTGTGTATCATAGACAAAGAAATACAAGTGTATACTGAATCACAAAATAGAAATCGTATAAAAAACTGTATCGGCGATTGTGTTGTTCGTTGATACATATAGATAAATGCAATCATAGTAGTGAGCCATATAACATGCCAATTTACGATCATTTATGAGCGTACTTGTTTGGCCTAAGATACCTATGGAAGTGATAATCATTGCTATTAAAATATTGAATGGTTCGGTTGATTATTGAGTGTTGCACACATAAACATGTGATGTAATGATTATTAAGGATTAGCAAGTGAATGCGAGCATATAACTAAGATAAGCTATAATTACATTATATAAATAACGTGATATTAGTTTTTTTTTGTGATAGAGATAGCGCTAATGTAAGTAAATATGTTGATCTCCATGTAGTCTGTAGTAATCAATATATATATATATGACATACGTTTTATTTTAAATACAAAGAAAATACAGAATCAAATAAATGATAAAAAATCGGAACCCTTTGAATATCAAGTTTTTTTTTTCGAAATATTGAAACTTCGAGTATTACATTAATATAATAATATTTATGATTGCATATATCATTCATAGAAATACACTAATTCGATACGTATCAATATACAATAAAAAAAAAATTATCAGTCGCGGTACTAAATAATCATTTGAAGTTTAAAATAAAATTTTGAGATTATATAGTATTAAAGAACACAAGTGAATAGAGTTACAACAATGCACTAATTGATAAATTTCACAAATTTTTTGTACAAAAACCAATAGCATCATATGTATAATCTGAATTACAATAGCTTAAGTTATCTCTTTTTTTATCGGATACTTAACACAATTTGATGTCAAAATGCACAACTAAGTATATGTCTATTTCATCAATCTATGATAAAGTAAATTGAGTTACGATGAATATTATTTGTTTTTTTTTTTTAATTATTAAACAAACTAAAATGATAATCAAAAAGAGGAAAAAAAAAACATTCAATGTCTAATTCTATAAGTCCATAATTGAATTGAAAATAATTCGTTTGTTTTTAGTTTGAGTTCTTTTTTTTTTTTTCTTATTGTTGACTTGAACACCAGATAATAAATTTAATCAATGAATCAATAGACATAATAAAAAGACAAAGAAGAAAAATTTTTATACAATATTTGATATATGATATAGCATTATTGTATTCATCATTTTCACGAGGTAATGAGAGACTTCGATAGATGGCTTTACGAAAACAGATATGAGCTATGCTGTTATGTCGACGATTGATGATGTCATCACTGATACATAAATATAAAAGAAAGATAAAATAGATATATATTCAAAAATATCATTATGACACAAATAATTGACATGCCATTTTCTTTTGAGTATGAATTCTAATATAAAATACTTTTAAAATTTAACTTTTATTTTATCACAAGATCTATATAGTCATAAGTATACTTTTATATATTCATATTAGTTTGTCCGATAGAAATACAAATATATTATTCTAGTATACTAAAGACAAAAGTTTATTTGAATACTTGTTCATTAATGATCTAAATTATTACAATGTTGAATGAATCAACATGATATTAAACTTTTGTTTCAAGTATAGAAAAGTCGATTCGGAAATCTTGATTTACTTTGTATAATATTTTCATACTAATAAATAATTTCGTCGAAGTATCGTTATAAAAGAAAAAGTACAGTAAAACATTTTCATCAAAATGTCTATAAATGTTTCCTTCTGACTCATAGAATAAGGAAGGTTATCAGTCAGGAAATGTCCATCAGCAAATTAGTCGTTAATTATTAATAATGAACTATGCGGGAGTCAATCTATCGTTACGCATCGCGAACCTATTTTAGCATTTTCTAATATTTAATTGGATACATGTAATCTATTTACTCGATGTAATCAATGTCCTGCATTAATGCTATCATCAATATACCTAAGACAGTCAATTAAAATTCTTCTATTTCACGTCGGAAAACATTAGAATGGAAAAATAAAGAAAACTACTAAAAAATCGATCACTATGTAGTACAATAAGAACTGATAGAGTCCAGCAGTTTAGAAAAGTAGCCAAAATTATTTATGCATGCAAAAAAATTCGTAGTCAAATTAAAGTACCTTTTCAATTACAACGTTTGTTTTCCGTGTGAAAATTTTTCTAATACATAGAAAGAAGCGAAGCATGATATCGGCTATATCCATTTAACAAATTAGATATTTATTTGATCTTTAAATAATTTCAATTTGAATTCTTAATACCTATTAATTGCTTAACATATCTAACTGTTGGATACTATTCGCCTTCATCATATGGCTATGAATCCAAAAATAGTTCGTGCCATTAGCCTTTTGTTCTCAAGTTATGGTCATTAAAATAGCTCTGATAGTTCTTATAATATCCTGAAAGTGGCATCTCAAAGAGATGATTTCTTCTTAAAATATCGTCTGCCTTTAAACTCGATTATTTTTGGAATCTATGCGTGAATGTAACATTCTTTATAACTGTGTTATTCCAGAAGGAAAATATCAGTTTGAGCTGGAACGTTCGATACATCAAGAAAACCATGAGAGTTATTGTTGAGACGAATTTCAGATCGAAATACCTTGTTGCAATTTTTCTCATAACATTCTGCAATTGATTGAAAGTTTAATGGAATCACCATAACTCAAGAAAAAAAGGTATGGATTCCTTTGTCTGTAGAAATTTCATTTAAATAGTCATAACTTGTTATGAGTAGATCATGAGCCCAAATCCTTTTTAACTTTTCTTGGCCCTATCGGAACGTACTCATGTCCATCATATGAAGACAAATTGTATCCAACACTTAGATATGTTCTTTTCCTATAATATGAGCTAAAAAGATGAATTTATAGGTATCTTGAAAAGTGCATCGTATTATAATTTCACTGTATAAAGGTATTTCTATGACCAGAAATTATTACACAAAATAGGTCAGAACTTCTAGATCATTTTCTATGGAATAAAACTACATATTTGTTTTTCTATCAAACAAATTCTTATAGTCAAATGCAAGTGAATCTCTCTATAGAATACAATAAAAACTTATTATAGACACGAACATATAGAATTAACTTTGTTTTCAGAGATTTTTCGTTAATTGCTTTATTTTTTGATACTCGTCAAGTGAAAAACACACCTAAATTCTGTCCATTAGAAAAGAAAGTCATGGATAGAATTTTCTTTCGAAGAAAAATATTTATTTGAGTAACTTACTTATTTTTCTTTTTATTCTTACTAAGATTTTCATAATTTATATCAATACGATGTTGCAAATATCGAATATGTTCATTATTTAGATTCGAATTCATATTGTTCTTATAGAATTTTTTTGTTGTTTAGAAAGACAAGAGAAATACTTAATGCAACGAGAAAAAAAAACATAATGATAGACAACCGAGAATGTCTAATTGGATGTTTTCAATTATTAATTAATACTAACCTTGTCGTTTTTTTCTTTTCAGAAAAGAATTCAAAGAATTTATATATAAAAATTCAATAAAGAACATTTTTATTTATTCTTTCTTTTTTCGTAATTTCTGTTTTTGTTAGATAGTTGATTTTTAAAAATGACAAATGAAAAAAAATAAATTTCTCTTCTTCTTTCTATTAAGACAAATAAATGATTGTTTCTTTTTAGTTAGAAAGACAGAACAAAAAAAAAAGCAAAGAATACAGAAGAAGAAGATGAATATTATACAAAAAATTGGCCATTATATACAACATTAAAAAAAAATATATATATACGATCAAAATTTTTTTTTTCGAGTTGGTAAATCAAAAAAATCGACATTATCTATTTGTTCTTCATCACTAAGAATAATTTCATTACCGCGAGAATTTTTTGATGTTGTCTAAAAAAAATTCAAATAAAAAATTTTAAGAAATAAAATTCTATGTTGTTTTTTTTTTTAATTTACACTTTTTTTTTGTTTATTTGATGATGATGTTGTTGATGCTATTCTTGATTTATTTAGATCCTCAAGAAGTGCATTATAACAACTTTGAAGATTTTCTTTTCGTAGAATTATTGAATCAGATAGAACAAATTGCTAAAATAAATAAAAAAAGATAGTTCATAAGAAGAAAAAACAAACAAATATAAATCACTTACTTTATGAAATGATTTTCCTTCAAGAACGTTTTTATCTGATTTCTCTATTACAGATTTACTTTTTGATCCTTTCGATTTTTTACTAGTATTATTTTGATCATCCATAGTAAGTGAAGCATATTGAATATGCATTAGATTACGTTGATCATCAGGAATATCACCACTAACAGTTGGATTATCTGATGGGTCGGTCGTTTTACATGTTGACTAAATAGATGTAATAGAAAAAAAAAAATAGAATTTCTTCAATTTTTACTATCATACGTGTATGATAGATAAGTATAAAAAACTCGAAAAATTATTATAAAAGATTAATTTCAATCGATA